AGGCAGCGGGAGTCGTCATGGACGGTGCTCAAACAGTCCACTTTATTCTGCACAAAGCTATACTTCTTATACTGATATACTGCTAATTCATGGTTACATAAGTTTTAAGATGTGCATGTGTGTGGCCTTCATGGCCAGGCATCTGGCCTTCAATGCCCTTATCTAGCTCTTTTCCCATGGGTGCAGCAGATTTTTCAAGGACAGACATATCTGGGATGAAGCAGTGGACAGCTGTCCTCATAGAACAATAGGCGAAGTTGGGGGGCTTCCCTACAGTACCCTTGAAGTTTATGAAAGAAGGAACCCTTTGGTGTACAACTGATACTTGTTTAACCAAAACTTCTCATTGAGCAGGATACTCCAAGTTACAAAACTTTTGCATTCATTATTTTGTAATTCATTTATCCACTCTGTGATCCAAAGAAAGGGATAATAAAGCAACCATGTAACAGATGAATCTCTCTATTCTACTCATGCAGGCCATAAGAACAGATACAATTTGCAAAATATTTTACTCTTCAGAAACGTGTATTTTTTTTTTCTTTTTAGTCTCATTGTAGGCAGTCTTTATTGGCAAGTGTTAAGAGTGCAAAATAGTAACAAATCCAGAGGTATGGGAAAGGAAGCAGAGCATGGATCCCCTCTTCCATGTGAGGACCCAGTAACCAGACCAGTAGAGCAGAAGCACTTGATTATGACCACTTTGGGCCCAGAACCCTCTGAAGAATAAGTTCCAAGGCAGGAGAGCTCCTTACAACACAAGAGAAGGGAGCAACACCTTGGAATGGGCATGGGCTGTGTCCCACCCTAGCTACTTGGCTTCTGCCCACAATACACCTCAACAGCTGGGGGTAAAGGCATTAGGGGACTGGGCTAAACCTATCCCTCTCTGAACCCAGGTATTTCCCTCATGATTCACTTAATTTTTGCTTTATTGAGCTCTTTTATATATTATATATTGGTAAAATGTTTTATATATTGGTGTAACTCCATGGGAAGGCTGTTCCTGACCTGGGGCAAATTCCCTATGAAACCAGTGAAACGGAAACAAGTCAAGGGAAAGGAAAAGTTGGGAGAAACCATTTCTGTTGCTCACAGCTTGCTTGAATTTGCTAGCTAAGCCCAGCCCTGTCTGTCTCCTCTGGCCGCAGCTTGCGCTCAATTGCCACGGGGTGCTCTCTACTTCCCACCTGACCCTTCCAGGAGGAACTCCATTGGCAGGTCCTTGGTGACTGGCAAACAGTGGATTAATTATGTACCAGGAAGAGAGGGTAGGAGAGAATGGCTGTTATCTCTCCACCCCTTGCCCTGGAGACTGTGGGAGGCTTCAGCAATAAACACCTATTGATATGTAAATGTCTAAGGCCAGGCAGGAGACTGAAAATTTTGCAATTCACCCTAAAATTGGTAATTTAATTTGAAGTTCACATTAAAAAAAATTAAAAATAGAAGATTGAGTCAGAGTATTTTGGGTTCAATGCCTATGATGTAGAAGCAAGTAGCTGGCATAACTTACCAACTTAATAGCAGATTAATGATAGGTTTGATACATATTTTCATCTTATAATTTCTACAATTGCTAAGCTTATATATATCTAAATATTTCTGTATATGTATATCTGGAGAATAACTTATGTATTTCTCTTAAGAGCAAAACAAACCCTTTAGCTCATAGAACATACATTGTACAGGGCTAAAGTTGCTCTACAAGTTATATATATGCACATAGATTAGTGTTATCCATTAATTTCTGTTCTTTCTATTCACTCTTATCCCTCTGCCTACTGAAATTTATAATTCTTTAATGTTCATATCAAGTCCTTCCTACTTCACTAACCCTCCCACCCACCCCCATAATGAGTGTTGCTACCCTTTGAACACTTAATATATTTATTATATATACCATTTGTTTCTTGCATTCATATCTGTATTATCAATTATGTTTTCATAATTTACCTTAAATATATTACAATAAGTCCAATAAGAGCAAGTGCGCCTTATATCTTCTTTTTTTCATTTCTGTTATAAAACAGAACATATACTATAAATTCACTAAATATTGTTGTTTATTAACACATGATACATAGGATTCAGAGTACTTCACAAGGCAAATGATTTTGAGGTAAATTGTTTATACTAATCACCTAATAATGAAGTAGAAAAAAGAAGACTTTTGGATATTATATTTAACTATCTTTGCTCCTAGAGTAATTCCAGTATCTTATATTCCAAATTGTAATTTTTTTATCATTATCATCTTTAGACTTGTGAAAACATGAACTACTCTGTCCCTAGAGTTTAGATGGATTTGCCTATTCTCTTCTCTGGCTAATTCTTTTTTGTGAAACAATGACCTTGAAAGATAAGGACATATGCCACCTAGATTCTATGCTTTCTTTATGCACCACACTGAAGGTAAGACCCCAGAATTCCTTGCTCAGATGGCTTTAAATACTTTCTCAAGAACTACATGACTTTGTTGGGTTTCGTCCTCCAGTGGGTGTACTGTGCCACTGGTATACTCAATGTAGGTTGAATGGAGGGCCAAAGTTGGAAGCTTTCTGTAGCAGGGAAGGGGCACAGCTGGACATGAGGGCTGAGATACTCAGATATGTTCATTTGTGATGCCTTAATGATAGGAAATGGAGGTAGAGTCAGGGAAGGAATAGAGGTGGGGTTAATTAAAGTTAAGGGCTAACTTACTATAGATTTCATATGCTGGTACTGCATTCAGGGAAGTTCAAGTATTTTAAATTTGAATCTACCCTTCCATGTGTTGTTATGAAGGTATGAGGGTATATTTGCAAAGTAGACAAATGCAACATACTTAGAGCATGATCTTTTGAAGAATGATTTACCATTATTTAGACATACACTATGCGAGTCCTCTTACTCTCATTCTTACCTAGGTCCCCATGATTTTTAGAGACCTTATTTATTTTAATACTTGAAAATTATAACTGAGGTTATATAACCGTGTAAATACAAACACAACTATATGTAAATGTAACACTCTAAATGATATGTTATGCCTAAAATATATTTTCTATATCTATTGATGTTAATATTTTTTAGTAAATTTCATAGTGTTTTTTATCTTAATCTAATCTTGAATTTATATTCTTGGTTTTGTTAATCAGATTCAAATTTTAATAATAAGTTACTTTCAGTGTTCTTGTATAAGATGAAATTTAACAATCAAACCTGTTTTGACTATTTTGGTACCTGAATCTAATTCTGACATCTTTTTAAAAAATCAAAGTGAAAAGAAACACTGTTGTTAATCAAACATCAAAAATTTAACATAGAAAGTGATGTACCATTTTGATAAGAATCCTTCCGCAATGTCTTTGAGAAGGACCACATTTCTCATTATTTGAATGTATTTTATCATTTCCTTATCATTTGGTTCAAATCAGTCCTGATTCAATGAATGAATGTTATGTATTCTTCTCATTCAGACCTTTTCATCTTAACTTTTTCCTCAAACCTAACATCTTTTTAAGTAAAGATAATGTAATGGTTTCAGAGTTTTTTTTTGTTATAAGGCAGTTTTTCATACTTTAGTTAAATTTATCCCATATTTTAGAATTGATTATTGGATGAGCATGGTTAATAGTTGTTATTAATATGAAGGGATACAGTCTGAAGGTGTTAAAATGTAATTATTCAAACGGAATTTAAGAGTGTAACTCTCTATAAGGGACATAGTATAGATAATATTTACATGCATTTCCTGTAAACAAAATTAATTCTCATTAGCAATTTATCTAAAATAATCATTGGATGAGTACCTTTACAGGTTCCCCACTGGGTAAAATGCTTTGAATTTGAGACACTAATTTTGACAGTTCTCAAATTTTATTATTTGCAACTTGTTTCACTACTTATATTCTGGATGGTTTGTTTGCCCTTCAACTGAGCTAGATAGTGCTAGTTTGCCTTTAAATTTAAATGTAAAAGTTACATGAGACCCATGATATGCCAGGAAAAAAGACATTTAGATGGGTAATTTAATGTCTCTATGCAATTATTGGGTCACCCCTGATAAACAATGGGTGCATTTTGCAAAATTATATCCACAGTTCCATGGGAACTCATTATTTTTCCTAGAAATACTCCCTGAATTTCAAGCAAGAAAATTACAAATGAAATATTTAAATACAGATTGTTTTTAAATTTGCTTGATGGGTAATATAAATTTTTTATTTATGGAAATTTACAATAGATAATTGAAAGTACTTTGTGTCATAACAGTCTTGTAAACTGAAGAAAGTAACCATTCTATTTGAAGTATACAATTGAAAGTCAACCAGTCTTGATTAAGTGCCTCTCTATAGCCAATTATGAGAAAATGCAAACAAAATGCATTAAATAATTTTATTACAAATCACTAAAGTGTGAAATCAAGAAATAAGACTACTTCACTGCTGAATTTCCAGTGTTCAGAATAGTGCCTGCTATATATTTCTTGAGTAAACCCAATGCCTTATCTACATCTATTTTCTATCAAAATAGACATGTAAATATTTAATTTAATACTGGTAAATTACCTCAATTTGTGGTAAATTGGACATGAAGACAGGTGAGTAACCAGAGTGCATTTGTCATCAGTCTAGTTATTTTGGTCAGATAATATATGCTATTTTGTGATCTTATAGTGTACCAGGAACTATTTAAAGTGCTTTATATATATTAATTAATTACACCTTATAACGACCATATGAAACAGGTATTGTTATCAACTCCACTTTATACTTAAGGAAACTAGAGGTAATTTTTAGTAGCCCTTATTCATGCAGCTAATGTAGGAGGACAATTGGTAGGCCCAGAGCCCATACTCTTAACCATGGTGAAATTCCTTCTGCATTGTTCTTTTGAATAGCTTCATTTGTATTCTTATTTATTTTTCTTTTGCTAACACAGAAATTTTTAAAAAGAATTATATTTGTTTCACCACTGTAGTTTCTATCATTTAAACTTTTCTTTTCTTTCTGCAGTGGGATGCTATCACCGAAATGGATGAGCACAATAGGCCCATTCACACTTACCAGGTATGCAATGTAATGGAACCGAACCAAAACAACTGGCTTCGTACAAACTGGATCTCCCGTGATGCAGCTCAGAAAATTTATGTGGAAATGAAATTCACACTAAGAGATTGTAACAGCATTCCATGGGTCTTGGGGACTTGCAAAGAAACATTTAATCTGTATTATGTGGAATCAGATGAATCCCATGGAATTAAATTCAAGCCAAACCAATATACAAAGATTGACACAATTGCTGCTGATGAAAGTTTTACTCAGATGGATTTAGGTGATCGCATCCTCAAACTCAACACGGAAATTCGTGAAGTGGGGCCTATAGAAAGGAAAGGATTTTATCTGGCTTTTCAAGACATTGGGGCATGCATTGCATTGGTCTCAGTCCGTGTCTTCTACAAAAAGTGCCCCTTCACTGTTCGTAACTTGGCCATGTTTCCTGACACCATCCCAAGGGTTGATTCTTCTTCTTTGGTTGAAGTAAGGGGCTCTTGCGTGAAGAGTGCAGAAGAGCGTGACACTCCTAAACTATATTGTGGAGCTGATGGAGATTGGCTGGTTCCTCTTGGAAGGTGTATCTGCAGTACAGGATATGAAGAAATTGAAGGTTCTTGCCACGGTAAGAAGGAAATATTCACATAATTTCTTAAGCATTTAAATGATAAATTTTAAGGTAAATTATTTTCAAAAGATAAATTTTTTAATGCTATTACTGGCAGAATTAATTGGGAAAGGCATGGACTCAAATTAAGTATAATTCCTGAAATTTTGCCTCCTGAGGATGGCATATGAAAATGTAAAATAAATTCAATGACAAGTCATGAATTCAATAAAGTCATGACAAGTGTTCCTCTGTTTGCCTCAGTAAAATAGTTAAGCAATATGAAGTGCTGTATTTACCTAGTTATTATAAAGGAAAGCAACATGAATAACAGCAAAAGAAGGTAAAAGGAGTTCAAATTGAGCATTTGTTTGACATTCATATTTTTATGGTTTATAGAGATTGTGATATTTAAAGACAGTTTGAAAATAATTATTTCTTTCATGTTGAATTTTAATAATTGAATAATACTTAAATAAGATGAAATTATATTTAAATAAGTGAGAAATTCTGTTTGCATACCAATCATATATATGTTTCAAAAACATATCAGATCATTTATTCTGTGTGTTATATGTTTGGTGACCAAGTACTGACTGTATCAGAGCTTAATTTATACTTTGCTACTATTAAATACAGTTTCCCACTATTTAACACATTTGTTTTTTTGTTTTAACAGCAGTGTTTTCCTAAAATCTAGTTTTCAGGAAATATCAGCACAACACAATGTTAGTTAAGTTTAGAACCATACCTTTTATATTATGAAAATGAAATACCAATAATTTTAAAGATGAAACCATTTTTTTCTTTAATGCAAATTTTTTTGAGCTTATTAATCTAATAAGTATATATACTAAAATTTTTTTACAAATTCCCTGATAAAGATAATTTATATAAATTGTGTTTGAATGTAGAACTCATAATCAAAACACAAATATAGAAACAAAATTATTGCTTGGTAAATAGTAACCTCTCAAAGGTAAATTATTTATAGGGTTGTTTTCTGTAGCACATACTAAGTTTCTTTACATCTTTCCTGGTGCTATATTTACATTCACTAAAAAGAATGAATGTAAGTATGAAAAAACACTTATACAGAAGGGTCATGGGTAATATATGTGAATTTTAAAATATTTTATCTATTTATGAAATGCTTGGATTCTTGAATGTTGGAAAGTTCACTAGAGCCTCCAGTGATGTTTATTTTAGTCACTTGAAAATGTTAATATTTACATGAAGTCTATACTGTATTTTTATAAACATGAGCCAGCTTTCCTCCACTATTTGCTCATTAAAGTGTTTCATTGAAGTTAGTTAATTTAGATTGAATTCAAAATTTTTATTCACCCATAACAAGGATTTAGAGTGGAACAAAAATGTCACAAATGACCCTTTGAGGGGGCTCTGTGAAATATATTAAATTGGAAAATGAAAGAAAAATTCATATATATGAATAATTATTCAATGAGATAAAGGAAATGAGAACTGAGGGTAAACATATACATATTAACCAAATAATTTTGCTACATTTTAAATATGGTAGAAGCTAGGTATTAATTCATAGAACTAATAAGATTTTTAAAATATTTAAAGAATAGTTACCTATGGATTTTTGTGATTAGCTATTATTAAATATTTATATTTTTTATGGTGGGTTTGGCCACAGAATTAGAGGTAGTGACAATCATTGATAACTAGATTTTTTCTTTTTCTTTTTTACTTAATGTGTTTGTTCTGTGAAATTTCACTCTTAATTACAGGATTTAAAAGTCCTTCATTTGTTGGTCAAGGATGATTTTGAACAAATTGATGATCAATATTAGCTTATCTAGAGATACTGCTAGACTAATCTGTTTTTATGACTTATTATCTTTATTATAATTTATTTGATCTCAGAAATATGAGAGTGGGTATAGTACAAATGTTCATCATATTCTTACAGTGGGTGGCAAAAATTGGAATTAAGCTTGAATTCTAAATCCATGGCTTACTAACTTTGAAATCACAGTTTTCCTTATCCATAAGTGAACTAGTAGTCATAACCAACTACTGATAAAACATATGGAAAGCTATTAAAATCAAGCATATGTGCCTGGTTCCAATTGAATATGATAGCTATTTACAAATACAAGGGAAGTAAAATTGAATGTGGAGACCTCAATTTTAGGGCTAGCTATCTCACACTACCACCAGTCTCCATTTTAGAGCAATTATTTAAGTGTGTGTTCTTAATGCTTCATATTGCCCTTTTTTACACTCTGATAATAATTTTTATCACTAATTCTATTGCTGCCTATCAACAACTTATCTCACAACCAAATCTGAATTATTTACCACCTAAATGACAAATAAATTGGAACTTATATGAGTAAACTATAAAGTAGTAATGTGACTATATATTATGTATATAATTAGCTATATACATATTTATACTATAATTATACTGTATACATATATAATATACAGTAATTTGACTATGTGTATAATGGAAAAAGAAAAAATATGTATTATTTCCTTTTCTTCTAGTGTATTCTGCTAAAACATTTATGCTATTAATATATTTTAGCACTATCTCTTAATCACTTTGGAAGGTTGTAGAGATTATAAATAGGCATATGTTTCAGTTATCTATTGCTATCCTTGGTCTTATACAAATTATTTGCTTACAGTCTGAAAATGTGGACTGGGCTCAGCTGGGTGGTTCTTCTGCTTTTCTAACCTGGCGTCACTCATCTACTACAGTTATTTGGAGGTTTAACGAGGCTAGACATCTAAGATGGCTTTACACACATATATGATGCTTCATCTGAGATGTTTGGGCCCTAAGGTTGCTTACTATGTAAATCCTGATAAGAATTTTATGTGTTTTTTTTTATTATGTGTGTTGTTTTAAGAAAGTATTATTATTATGTTTTTATTCTTTCTTTCTGGTATATCCACTGAAAATAGTTAATCACCATGTTGCTGGGCAGCTGCATCTGGGGATGTCTGTCCCTGAGCTCTAGGTGAAGCACTAGGAGAAACCTCAGCCTGGATGGGGGAGGGTTCTTGACTCTAGACTAGAAAGAATCCTCCAACAGGTCAGAAGAGTACAGGTAAGGAGGGAATTCATTAAAGCAAGAGGAGTAGGGAATGGTAGCTGCCCTCTAGATTGCTGAGTACAGGGAGAGATCCCGGGCGAGCCCCCAAAAGGATGGTACTGGGGTTCTTGTTTACAGAGTGAAAGAATAAATTTCTCAAATGCTCAAGGTAGGCAAGCGAGAAAAAGGCTTTTTATTGATAGAAGATACAGAACTCCCAGGCGTATACTGGGAGGGACAAGGCTGCTGTTTATGGGCTCAAGTCTAGGGGTTTTATGCCTGTTGCGTCCACTAGGTAGAGAAACCATTTGTTTTCTATAGGTTTCCGTCAGAATACCAACTATATTTTAGCCAATTATACTAAAGGTCATTTCTATTTTTAACTAGTATGCCTTGGTCAAGCTATTGAGCTTTGATGACTTAATAGTCAGTAAAAAATGGCTCTTTATCACAGAGGTTCAGTGAGAACCTTCTTATACATTGTTGCATTATTTCAGCTGCAAGTCTCCTGTTTTTCACATTTCCAGGGTCCTTAGTAAGCATCTCATTTGACCTTCCCAGGGCCTTTATCTTGCTCTAACTGTCTAGGGGCTGCACCCCTCTCCTTCCCTGTTTCAACCACAGTATTCAAGGGACTTCACAATTTGTCCTTGTCCTCTTCATTCTAACTTTTAACAAATTCTCTCTGATCTGTGTTTATTACTTTTGAACAATTAATGTATTTTTCATCTCTCTTGCTTTTTGTCATATTTTATCTAGCTGCTTAGAACAAGGTTCTACTGAGTAGTTAAAGGTAGAGACTTTTGGTATATCTAGTGGATGCTCTGTTTCTTCTCATGTTTGTGAAATAAAAAATCTTCTTCAGGGAGGGTTATGGTATTTTAGATCTGGAATGCCTTAGAAAATATTCTTGTCCCTCATTTTGTGAATCAGAATGCTAAGCTATGAGAATAGAGAATTTTGCTCCCTGGAACCACTCAGTAACTAATACTAAACTGAGAACTAAAGCCTAGATGTTTTTCAATCATGTATTTCTTTATTTTCCTTCTTCCCCTCCTCACTTCTTCCCTTCTTTTCTCTATTTCCTCCTTTATTCCAGGCATCTGTGCACTTACCTTGATGCTTTAACTTTTCCTGCTGCAAAACAGTGCAGAGCAGCTTAAAGTTACTGATCATTAATCAGGCCCTTTATGACCTGCATTTGTTTTTTTGGAGTGTGATATGGGTACTATTAGAAGAGTGTCTAATATCCACTCTGTAGGCATGATGGAAAAATATACAGATATATCTGGAACTTGCCGTTAGAGATGATAAAAAGTAAAATTATAATAAGGTTTTAGGAATTTTCATAATTGAATGAATTTGAGAACTCTTGGTCAACTATGTTATAGAAACACAATAAGCTGGTTTAGAACAGAGTAAATCTGTATTTACACCTACTGTCAATACCTAATGAATTACATATATTTATTAGCATTTAAATAATTATTATGTGTTATCCTAAAAGTTGTACTACTGAATATTTGAACATGTGATTCATTTTTCTATACTATTATTAATATCTAGATCTGAATTCTAGAAGAACAAAAAGTGAGAGGCACTCTTGTACTTGCTATAAAGCTTAAATAGACATTTTTTAAGCATATACGCTGAATTTTAAGAGCAAACACAATAATTTAGTTTATTATATACAATAAGAAATATTTTATTCTTGGCTCAACTCTCAACTCATTTTTCACTTTTATTGCATAGGTTCATAATTATAACTATCATATTTAGACATTCTGATGTTACAGATTTAATTTTTGTCTTAATTTATTCCACTAAGGGTTTAAATAAAAAAATAACATTGATTCATAAAGCATTTATATCAAATAGTTTTTCTCTTATATATCTAAGAATACTTCAACACTATAAAATAAATAATTGGAAGCAATT